CCGACCACATTTGGCTGATTGCTTTCTTGCTGAATATCGACTTCGTCATAACTTGAAGGTAAAAGGTGATATCCACTGAAATCAATTAGTTTTGAAATTGAGATACCTTATATATCAGGTCGGCACTATGAATCGATATTTACGTCAGTACAAGGGACATTATGATCCATGGTTGATTGAAGCATTGGTATACCTACGGATGAAGCTTGAGATTTTCGGCACTGGTGGTGCTATTGAGGAGCAAGCGGGAGCCCATGTCCAAGGCTTGGAGCTGAAAGAGTGCAGCGAGACATTTGGTATTGCAGAATTTGCACCTGACGTTGCTCGCACACTTGGGATAGACATGTCTTCAGCAGAAGAACGAAACAACGAAGAGCATTGCGACCAAATGAATACGCTCAAACCTCGGCCATACTCTCTCAACATTAGTATCAACCTCTTCTTACAGCCTGGTTCTACGGCCAATCCTTTGAATAAGCGCTACATCTTTCTTGCCCAAAAACAAGGAACAAAGTATGCTGTTACCCCTGTCCACCCGAAGCAGGAATTCGAAAAGTTTCAAGAAATCATCCATGGACCAGCTCAAAGAACTATTGGCGCATCAGGCTGGACCAGATTGGCAAAGCTTTAGAACGCATCCACATCCAAGCCAGTAGATGGAGTAACAGTATTTTACAAGACACCAGATCATCTAAAAATGCATTACGAGCGATGGAATGAGAGACGATTGACACGCGCTAGCAAAGCAATTAGCGATGGCATTTGTGAAACGATGAACGCAGAATTGATGTCACCAAGCAGAGGATATTCCGCATTACCTGCTAGCACACCGTCACCACCTCCATTTGCCCTCCAATCCATAGTACAAGAAGATCTGCAAAACTCGTTACCATCATCAATAGCAGTAGCTGACCCGTCATCAGTAGCAACAACTATCTCATCATCAACACCAAACTCTCTCGGTGCATCACCATTAGGTTTTAGTCGCAATAGTCCTAGAAGAATTGCTCTGGCGCCATCACCATTGTCTACACCATCACAACCACTGTTTACAGTTAATGTACAAATCCCCAAGAAACGAGCGCGCCGTAGTAAACAAGTATTACAGGGATCCTAAAGACTAAGCTACACACCCTTGGAACTATATACATATCATATTATATTTATATCTTGTTATCTACACCACTATATACTCTTACCGTCATCGATACCACTCAACAATAAACGTATTTTATTTCATGCTGCTCCCAAATAGCTTACTTCCCAAGGAATATTACTAGGGCCGAAATTTCAGTTAAAGTATGTTCCTCCCATTTTGGGCTTTGGGTGCGCGCCGTTTCCACTCCATGAAAGTATAAAAAGACACTCTGAAAACCCGTTCTCTTTCTGTTCTTCTGCGCTGTTGCGAACAAACAGTAATGCTCCCTCCGTCTCTTCTTGAACTAAACAGTGGTGAACCGGAGATCCAAACCTTGTCAAATCTTTGGGTCAGTGCTAATGCGGCATTCGATTCGTGCGATTTTGGTGGTGCCTTGTCTGACTTGGATGCTGCGGTTGCCGAGGTTGAGCAGAACGTGTTAGCTATCGTTTTGCTGAAACGTGCAGTTGCCCACAGCTGTCAGGGTAATACCCAAGCAGCGATCCAGGATGCATACAAGGTTATAAAGCTGGCGCCGCGTCTTCCTGAAGGGTATCTCTGCGCTGGTAGTCTGCTAAAATCCGCTAAAAGATATGGGGAGGCGATCGAGATCTACTGGAACGGCATTCAGGCTACTGAATCCTTTGGAGACACGAACGACTGTGCCTCCAGAAAAAACAATGAAGGACATCAGCGCATAGTACGGGCCAAGCATATTATTGAAGAAAGCATCAATCGGATCAATGACCAACCCTTGAAGAAGCTACCACTGGAGCTGGCCCACCATATCTTTTTCGATCTGCTTTCGTTTGAGGACCGACTGCAAAGTATGTATACGTGCCGCTGGTGGAGAGCATTTCTGGTGGAGGAGCTACCGCGGATACCTCTCCGTTTGGTACTGGGTAGTATTCCAAAGCAAGCAATGGTACATGGCTCCCAGATCAAGTGGCCGCGCTCTCCGGAAGAAGCCCGTGAAGCTTCCGATGCCTTTTCTTGGCCCACTGGTTTGGCTACCTCTCGAGATGTCTTGACAAGGCTGAAAGGGGCGATAGGAGCTATGGATGGCAAGCTCGTGGTGATCCACAAACCGACGAAGCAAGGTCAACGGTACTTCGACCGCAAGCTACATCACTCGATTAACTTGCTTGCTGCTTGTGCTGCAGATGGGCGCTTTACGTTTATTGACGTGGGTCAATCAGGTATAGTAATCTACAAATGAAAACTATTATTGTCTTTAACGTACACGTTGCTGATGCATCACAAATATGTGTTCATTAGAGCGAGCTCACGTCACCCGTGCCTTCAGCAACAGTGCACTCAATACCAGACTGCTAAATGATCCTGAACAATGGTGTCCTAAAGGAACATACATTCTTGCCGGTTAGTAGTCCTGCACTTTTCACTTATACAGCTTGCACAATCAAAATCGAAAGATGCTCGACCTCTTGCCCACAAAGCCAAATTCAGTAGTACACGTAACGAGGAATCCAATCTGATTTCCATATATGCATATTTGTAAGTTAATAGGATCTCACGGACTTTTTGGATCGAGACTTACATAACTATTTTTTTTAGTTTAAAATTCATGGATACCATCATTACGTGTTTGACAAAGACCTGGACATCACAGAGAATAATTTCGCAATCAAGTTGTGGGGCCCTATTCTGGAGAAGCTATTTCGGAATACAATTTTGCGATGCAAATGGTAAGAGTCAATGCATATTGCATACGATCGGTTATACATTTGTAAGGCTAACTAGGGGTGATTCCATCGGCTCCCTATCCTTATTTACCATAGAGCTCTATGCTAACTTCCCATACGGATCTCTATCCTCATTTAATCCGACTCATCTGGACTTATCGATAGTCCCGGCTTCACAGTTGATATGTGGGTTGTCAAAGGATACGTTGTCACGCGGTCCTTCTTAAAAACCTGCAGTGACAGAATCAAGCTATTGATCGAGTCGAAGTGCGTTTTGGACAGGCTCATTACAGAGACCGAGAATGTGGTCGCCAAAAGTATAAAGATACCAGCGTTACAATTATCAGGTATGTTATTCCTATGATTACCCGGTGTCTGCATAAAAATTATCACTGTTTCTAATGACTTGAGATGGATCTTCAGGAGCGAAAGCACGATGGTATACTCTGAGACGTGATGGCACTGGCATCTATGTTGGCGTAAAGGAAACTCGTGGAAGTGTTCCAAAAGTATCAGTGATATATACGAATTCCGGGATGTGATTACTTTGCTATCATATTCAAATTTAAGGTATATATACATATGGGTATGGGTGTATACAGATGTACGGTGGATTTGCATAGTGACCGGTAATAAGTTTGATACACAGAAAATGACCTTTATTTATATATTAGAGTAATAACTCAAAGTGATTGGTATGGTTAAAATATACTCACCAGTGTTACAAACTGGTCAAACTTGTAGGTGTGTGAAATAAAAAGACAATTAGAGAAAAAGGGTAACAATATGTGGATAAGAAGAAAGTGGTATCATAAAAACAGGGGAACGAGTTTGCCACATGAGTGATTGAACTTCAATTCAACGTTGAAGGTGCAAATACTATTTTGCTGCACTACGCATCAATAGAAAAGTCGGCATTACAGTATTAGTTTCCTAACCTGACATCCAGCTACTGCTATAGAAAGCGATATTCGACTTGACGGGATGCAATTTGATGAGCAACAATGACGATAACAATGATAATGATGATAACGATAATCGGTCATCATGTTAGAATTCATCATGTGATATCTTCCAGCCTATTCCCCATTTTTGAATCCCACCGAACTGTTTAGTCGAAGCTAAAGGCTGAAGTAAGGTGCGGACTCTTGACAAAGGATGATAGCTTAACACCGCATATGGTGACCAAAGATTGCCAGGGATGGATATCACACTGAGGACGCAATATGTGTGCTCACACATACAAAATAGCGTTACAGATTGCTGTAGAAAGTATTCAATTAAAAGACACTTGAAACACGGGGTGTCCATGCTGTGGACTTCGCTGAGCACAGTGACAGCTGCATATTCTTATTACGAACTACAATACAGAAGCTAAATCTCGAAAAGCAAATCAGGAAACTTACTGCTGGCTAGAGTAGAGGAAAATTAACTGCGGTTCGAGCATCATGTTGTTAGTAAAGACATTGATGCTAGAGTCCTTGTAGTATACTATCCTACATTTTCACGTATTTAGTGCTTTACATATTACATAAGAGCGGATGAACAGTCCGCGTTGGTACATCATCGTCGTCGACAGGAAAAGAGGCAACGACTGTAGGAATCTTATTTTTAGCGCTGTTTTTCACATGTCAATTCTTTAGAGCCTTCGCAGGTGAACCAAATTTTCTAAAGTGATATGCAATTTGCTTGGCAGCTCACTGTCAAACGTTTTTCCTACTACTAGACTTACCTATTCATCTGTCGTTGTTCACATTCAAAAATAGATATGCCTAAAGAGCCCGGCTTATTGCACGGTATCTAGTGGAGCAGAGGCAGGCACTAACGTAGCTACCGTTTTTTTATCGCACAAACACCATAGTTTATTGCCATTTCTTAACCTCGTCCCATAGTAATAAAAATCGCGCTTGGCCGTATCTGGCCACCAAATGTATTTTATCTGCAGTTTCACAGTTTCCTAATTCAATCATGAAGGGTAACCCAGCAATGGTCATCGGGCTGCGACGCCGGTCGCGCTTTTTTTTGCGTTTCCTCTCGAAACAGGCCATAAAAATGACAAGCCTGGCTGAATTACGCCAGAGACTCCTCCACCGCTACTATGTACTACACTTAATTTACGGCTGCACTTATATTGCTTTCTCGGTTAAGCACCTACTATTATCCGACGACAGTGAATTTGGCGTAAGTAAAAGTGCTTCTTTTGCCTAAAGTCGTGGGGGGTGGGGTGGGTGGTTAGAAAGAGGCGGAGAACTCCAAGCTCAGAGATGTTGGCTGACAACCCCATTTATTGTTAACGGAAAATATTCAAGGATGCCGACGTAAATGCACACCTGGCATTGGTTTTATTTTCAGTGTGGAAGTCGCTCATGGCAAGCACGGCCGAAGAATTAGCAAGCGTGCTTATTCTGTACACCAAGTTCTTTACGTTCTGCATGGTATATTGGAAGTCCGGCATGTTCAAGTCGATTCTTTACCTTGCTGGTTGGATGTGTATGTAGCAAAACGTTGGGGGAGGGGTGAGTTTTTGAAGATATGTAAATTTCTAATGCGAAAGACGGAACTCGGGCACTTGGATGGTATTTAGTATTGTCGACACTATTCCCACAACCATGGTATCAAGGCCCAACGAAGATTGCTGAGCTCAGTGAAACAAAGTTCCGTGAAGAAGTGCAGCGCAAGCGACTTGCCGATGGCCCTCGCATTACTGAAGTAACAAGTGAAAGTGAGGAAGGCCCGTCAACAACAACAGCAACCAAAAGGAAAGACAAAGGCAAAGGCAAAGCTGGACAGTATACCAAATACTGGGTAGTCATGCTTTATGCTAATTGGTCTCTTGCATGTCTCAATTTTGAAGCCGTGCTGGCCAAGTTATCGCTCCAATATAGTGCCGATCACATCAAATTCGGTAAGGGATTAAGAAAGGAGGAAACGGTTTAAAGCATGGGTGGGTGGGGGAACCTCAACAATTGACAGGTAGACGACTTACTGGTGGGGTCTTGTTGAATACACTAGGTAAAATTGATATTGACATGTACTCGGATCTGGCGGAGGAATATGGTATCAGCCGTGATCCAGCATCCTTTGATTTGCCTACACTTTTGCTTTTCCGCGACGGTGCCCAGATTCGTCGACTACCTGAACTGACACCCGCCGACGATTCAAACATCAAAAAAGCTGCAGCGACAACTGCAAAAGACACAATTACCCGTATTGGTTGGAGTAAAAAAGCAGTAAGTGTACAAGATACTGATGAACTATACAGCACATACTAGGTTAGTGTTAAGTCGCACATTATACTAAAAACTTCATATAAAAGGCTACTGTAATCAAGGCATTCCATCTTGATAAGATCATTACTGAAAAATAGAGAGAGTATCGCTGCAGCAGGGTATGCTGCCACAACAACAACAACAACAACAACAGAATTCATTTTTTGTGTGGGTTACTAGATGTGCCACTTAATTTCGCGGATACACACACACACACACAATTTCAACCCCAATCAATGTTTATGTTTGATACGTACTACATCATCATGTACTTTCCTTTCTATGAAAATAACGCAATAAACAATCGAGAAAGAACGCAACACAGACTGCAATTCGACTCCAATATGGATCAGTTTGTTCAAGTATTTGCGGACGAGAAAAAGGTGTAGATAAGGGGGGGGAACTGTGTACACAGACAACAAGTATGGCAAAGAAGAAGGGATATAAAAGAAAGGTACGCTCGGAAGAGATAGTGGTAAAGGGTTATGTGCGAACGAGCTACTACGTACGAATTTGCCCTGAGACGAACTCTAGTTACAGAGAAAGAAAGCAAAAAAGGAGTTTCTGAAGTAAAGAAAAGACGATTATTAAGAGGGCTAGTAAGGTGACAGGCGAAACAGAAAATAGAAAAGGAATTTTTTTGGGAGGGTGAATCACTAAAGGGTGAGCAAATAAATAATGCGAATGTGCAGCTGGATATCATTCGTCAAAGGAATAGAGCAGAAAGACGGTATCAATAAAGTGCTGCTTATTGATAAACCATTCAAAAGGTATACATCTTTTCTAAGGCTTGTCGTTGTAGAATGCCATGCTGAAATCTATATATCGAATGTGGTTAGCACTTTTTTTATCACTCATCACTCTCTATCAACAGCCAGAAAAAGTGAGAATCGGCTAATTACTTTTTCAAAGTCTCATTTTCTTGTACGAGGCGCTCCACTTCTGAAAGCAGTTCGTTCTGCATGTTCTTTAAATGCTGGATCTGCTGCACAGCTAGTACGTATAGCCAAAAATTTGAGTATACAGACCTTTGCTCTTTGTGAAAAAATAGTAAAGGAACACAATCATACTTCGCGTAAGCAATGCTGCCTTGCTCATTTTCTTGTTGTTACAGCCGGGCAAGTGCTTTCGTAACTCATCAAACCCATCCTTGATCTGGGCACGACGCTTTTGCTCAGATTGGATATGAATTTGGCGACGCAATTCGGCGTTGGATAATCCACGTCTAGCACAGGTGAAAGAAACAAATAAACAGCAGGGTGTAAGCTTACTGATGCTACTAAATGGAAGAATCTTGGATGTAATGGGACTTGATCCTGCTCTCCACTTACTCTTCAGCCTCCTTATCGATCTCATCATCGTCTGCCTCATCATCGGAATCCTCCTTATCCGTATCAGACGCTTTTTTCTTCTTAGCGGTCAGATCTTCAGTGCAGCTGTTGTAATTGCTGCTGCCGCTGCTGGAGGATCCTGCTGCTGCTGAAGGTCGCTTGCGCTTATTACGCTTTGCATCCATTCTTTTTTCGTACGTTTCCTTGGAGTATTCAAGGAACTCAGTGTGGTAGAATTCCATTGGTACAGAGTTAGCACGAGCAATTGTCTCTTTGACACGTTCGGTGGTAGAGTTTGTAAACGTTGATGAGGGCACAAGTGGCGTAATTAGAGAATTTTCTGCTGTCTGTTGCTGTTGTTGCTGTGTTGAAGAGTTTTGCTCGAGGGCTTGGCTCGTCAAGACTTGAGGGTAATTAGCTGCGGGTGCTGCGGCTACTTCGGGCACACCAGCACCCGTATTTGCATTAGAATTATTGTTATTGCTGTTAGCGGCAACGCTGGAAGATGGTGGTGTTTGCGGGGATGAGCTCGATGATATCGACTCAGGGCTGCGTGGGTGATGTCGATGGTGGTGTTGCTGTTGCTGTTGATCGTAATATCCAAATCGCGGCACAGCTGCGGCAGAAGCAGCACTAACAGCAGTGGTAGTAGTGGCGGTGGCAGGATAAGTTATTGGAACAGCCTGATAATTCAACGGCATCTGCTGAAAGGCAGCATAATCTAAGAAGGGAGATTTTGGGGGTTAGAATTTTTGGTCTAATTAGTTGCTTGAGCTATCGAAGTTGGTTTTGCTCCCTAGATTTTAGTGAGGGGCCAATCACGCCAGTTTCATTTTATAAATGTAACTCCGGCTGCATAAGATGTGCTCGATAGTATATATTACTGGCACATTGGGGGAGGGGCGTCGATAAAGAGAGTGTGTGCTAATAGTAGCGGGAGGAGGGGTACGGAGAACAAATTAGAAAGAAAGGAAAAGCTTTACCATGATAATAATGCTGCTGGCCGTCTTCATATGTGACTTGAGACGGCGATGATGATGTTGGCGAGCTATCTTTCTGGTGCACACCCATGGTGGCAGGGTTGAAGTTGGACATCATCGAGCTTGCTGAGTAGTCGGGAACGTATTGATTCGAGGAGTTGGAAAGGACAATTTCGCTCATAGTTTTAGCTGAGAGGGGATTAGATATATCGAGAAGATGGTGTATGAAAAGGACAAGGAGAGGGACAGGTGGTAGTAAGTGAGTAAAGGAACGAGTGTACTGTGATAGTTTGATGATTCAACGAGTGTATAATGGGTGCGCGAAAGCAAGACTGTCTCTTGTTTGCTGCTTATATGAAGAAAAGGAAGGGAAAGGAAGGACTGACGGCAGGTTCGACAAGGAAACGAGAAAGAGAAAAGAGAAAATAAGTCTCCAAGCAATAATGAATCGAATAAAAAGGAGTCCAACGAATAGCTCTTGTGCAACGATGTGCAAGAAAAAGTACTGCCCTTCACATAACCCCACTCTGCTCTGCATCGGCTCAGCCAGGCGATCCTTCTTTAGGTTACAGCAGCAGAAATTACGTTTTTAGCCTGCCGCATATCTTTCAGTACTTTTTTCTTATATTTCACATGACATGACGCTATTACAACGATACAACGGATACCTCCAGATGGGTAGACCTAATGTGACTAACCATTTGACCCTCCTAAAAGAATTTCACAGAGGCCAAATTAAATTCCATAAAGTATGCATTCATTACACTGGTACCAAGTTTTGATGAATAGCAATCAAGAACCGAATCGCAGTCGTCGCTACAAAATCTTCCTTCAGCCCTTTCGCAAAACAGTGGAGTATCAGACTTGTCTGCTATAGCTTCTTGCTATTTGCTACATAGTTTACTGCAAGAAAATACAGTAACAATCGTGGTATTTGATATTCTCGAAAGAAACGCATTACACTTATTTGGCTGCATCTCAGCACAGCCATATCGACATCCCCTTCCTTTCTACCAGTAGTGGGTACACCTTGTTTCACTAACTCGAATACACAGCTGCAGAATATTTCATTGCGGCTGAAATAAACGTCAGATCTTTTCGCAATAGGCCCACAAAAAGTTATAATTAACATGCAAGTCATACGAGTCTCCTGCGCATAGCAATCTAGTTGTATAACCTCATTTAGCTTGGTCCACTTTCAGATTAAACAATTTGCAAGACAAGTATGTTACATACACAGCACCTCGTGTTGCCGTGACACGTATATGTTGCCTCGTTACGGAGCTTGTGCGTAAGTAGCAAAATAAAGTTTTTTTTCTATGATATCATCGATTACATGGTAACCAAGTAAGGTTCATTCAGACATCTTTGTGTCACTTGTAGCCTACGCTCCGATTCTACTGTAGTTTCTGCAGAAAATTTAAATTGTAAAGATGACAGTTGCCGTCTTTCATCGATTCATCATACGATATACAGGACGACGTAGCAGTACGTGGTGCTATTCAAATTAAATGGATGTATAAATAGGATACAGTGAGCAAAGTCTTGAAGAGGAAGAATAGCTTTCGGCAGTAGCAAATGGCCAAGGAACAGTTTACCAAATAATTCCTCTCTTTGACTTCGTCGTTTTTAAGGGTCTACATCACTTTTTAGCTGCATGAAGACAACACTAGCAGACCAGAATTACTCTAACTTTCGATTGAATTTCAACATACAGGCACAGAAAGTCCATAAATTACTATACGTTGCATGCACGCAAATTCGTAGTACCGATTTCTAGCATGTTTTTGACTAGCCCTAGCCGTTTCAAAAAAATCACGGAAACGGATTTCGGAAATTACTTTCTCCGAACGGTTAATCATGTAACCGAACCAAAATCCGTTTTTTCAGAAAACAATGCTAATCAAGCTCTGATTGATAAATAACTATGAAATTACTACTGCTATGTCCGCACGCACACTATATTAAATGACACGCTATGTACTGTAGCCTTTTCTGTTGTATTATCTCAACTTCTCTACCTGCATTATGTAGAAAAATGGTTTTTTTTCATGGAACCTTCCATCCCTGGACGGTTAGCATCATTCTCTTGCAGTGTCCATGCTGATAAATCCAACCGGTATTTCTCTCATAATAGTCCATTCATCATCTTGCTGACAATAATAAACTTTAGCCAATAGCTTGTGATATTTAAAGTCAATCCACATCAATATACAGTAAATTTTTTCACTGATTGGAGCGAAGATAAGCCTGTAGTATCGTGCTGTAAACCAGGCTGTTGTTATACTACACAGCCACTTAGTGCGTAGTATAGTGTCTCTGGTGGCCGACTTGAAATTCCAAAAAAACTGTGGGGGGAAGGAGTTGGAGCGTGGGCCTTACCAAAGTTGAAACCTCTGTTTGATCTTTAGTCACCATGCTGCAGCGAATAGCCACTCCCAGCTATATATACTTACTCCTTGTGGTCGCCTTGCTTTTAGTTCTCAGGATCCAGTCTATAGCACGCCATATTTTAATGTGACATATCAGAACAACCCATCGAGAAACGTGCGGAAAGAAAATCAGTTGCTATACTGGGAATTCTTACGTCTCTTGATAGAGCTCAGAGTAGCCATGATTGCCTTCTTGGATCAAATATATACACTTCTCGTTGGCAGGCGTACAAAAAACTATTTAGCCTTAAAAGGAAGAAAAACCACGTTCATTCAGTGTTTTTCTACGTCATATATTCACGTATGTGTGTGTAATTTTTCTAGACTCAAATGGCAGCACAACAGCAACAACAGCAACAACAGCACTATCAACAGCCAGTACCACCTCCAACGCAGCAAGCGCAGCCTATCCCGCCTGCGACCATGTCATAACAACCACCACCACCACCAGGTCCACTTTCATCTACCGCTGGTGTTGACCCTCAGCAATAACCACAACAACAGGCAGCAATCACAGATCCTGCTGCTGCATTAAGCCAGTTGGCGTAGATCTTGCAGAGCCAACAACAGCACCAGCAACATCAACAACTGCCATCTTACCCACCGTCTTCGGGTGGATGGAATCCTGACCATACGCCACAGTAATACTGATAAACTGATGAAACAAGACGTAATGTGTTGTTATATATGTGTAGAAATGATATCTTTAACCTTGATGATAAATATGGCATAGAAACAAACAGTGATACTTACGTATATATCTTGTGCTCAGCCGAATTACTCCTGTAGTTAATTACATGTTATGAGACCTCGTCCATAATACAATTGTCCAGGACCGCTTGTTTCAAGTACGGTGAATTTACACCATCATCATGACGTAGGCGGTTATGGGCTTGTTCATTTATATTTCGGAAGCTAACAGTTTATTATAATCATCGACACCCCTGACTTGGACTATCTTAAACCTTCAGCATGCGTGCTGCATACGCACAGGCCAACGGTTTATCACACTTAACGTTAAAACTATCCATTTAAGGAAAACAGAAATCGGCAAAGGACGTTCGAAGCGATTCCAACCATGACTACCCACCCATTGCAGCTATCACTCTCAAAAATCATATTCCAAGACCGTCTCATGGATTTACGTTTTGGCCACCCAAAAGGCTATGTAAGCCCCCTAAATGTTACAGCCAACCTTGCCTTATCTAAGCTTATTTTTACGTGCCACACTGCATGAACAATGGTCTCTTTCTTTCTATTAAAGTAAAAGGATGATTTATTTGTTTGCACGTACAGTAGCTCTTTTATTTTATACAGTGTGACGCTATCCTTCTATCGCTCACGTATTCCGAAATTCTATTTGACGTTGTATCATTTGCCCTTTAGAAAGAAAGCTCTAAGCCAGCTGGATGTACCTGCTACTGTATACATGGAGCTACTAATCCAACTAAATGCTATTCGTACTTTTCAAATTGTATAAGCAAAGGTATAACTGTATTTTTATTTTTTTTGTAAATTTTTTAAGTATGAGGAAGCTATTTAGAAATACATTTGCGTTGTGTCCGGTTCCGGGAAGGGCTACATCAAAACAAAGCACCAAAAATGAGTTAGAGCAGAACAACTAACAAAAGCACGTGAAAAAGAAAAAAGGAAACTTGCCTCTTCTTGCCCAATAAAGCGGCCACTCGTGTAAAATATTTTAGGTCTGCATGACCGTTGAGTAGCGATACTTTTCAATCAAAGCGACCTTGCCTTGAATGTTTGCGTACTTAGTGGAACATCGCTTATCTGAGTTGGATTGGTTCCTGTTTGTCATTGATGTTGAGAAATTGAGTACATTAATTTTTGGAAGGTGCAAAAGGAGAGAGAGAGAACAAGCGATGCGATAATACATACCAGCGTTTGCCAATAAACTTTTCCGCGAATGTGACCACGAAGCTATTTATAGTACACGTACTCATATGTAATTAGTGGGACACTTCACTTGACAATGGGAGCAACGGTAATGTCAGCAGCAGCAGTGAAAAAATATAATGAAGCACTCACCCAACGTCGGAAAAGTTTATAAACGCATATCCAAAGTTGCGTCTGCGCTCTACGTTGAAACGCAGATACAGGAAATCGTACGTTCCTTTGTTTGTCGCGTCGATTTCTTCTTTCAGCATTTGCTAAACCAAGTATGAGATAGAATAAGAGAGAAAAGGTCCGTTAGGGATTTGTCGAAGATTAAGCATAGTATGTAAGCACAGAAGATGGAGATGGATTGCAGTGACAATGAGAGGGTTTGTTGGTGGGGACGAAACCTACTTGGGTATACGCGTGTGGTATGTTGCGTATCAACAACGTCGTTCGCGTATCCCCTCCTAATGTTGGAATTTGGGAGCAAAGTACGCAAAGACAGTCGGTTCAGAGAGAGCAAGAGTAAGAGAGACAGAGCTATCAAAAAAAAAAAAGAAGAGACTCGATCGTGAGTAATCAATAGCACAGTCGTCATCATCTTTGACACACACCATGTACACTCTTGCTTCTCTCCTCCTTTAAAGCAGTAACCGGGCGAGGCCGAGGAGGAGACGGCTATAGAAATGAAAGAAAGCAAGAGATTTGATCGTGAGTCGTCGTGATACTTCTTGACAGACATGCACACTACCACACGCACGGCCATGCGATGGATCCGTTGCTAGCTAAAATGGCGAGCACAGAACTTCAAGGATGGGACATCGTCTTTGATAATGCTTCACGCGAGACCAGAAAGATGATATCTCAGGTTGTCGAAGCAGGTGGCTCCAGGGCTATCTTCTTGCCACGATGCTCTGATTTGAACGAATCACTTAATCCTGTTGAGTGGTTTTTTTCAACAGTAGAGCTACGGTGTAAGCGACACAAGACCAGTGTGGATGACCCCAATGACTACATCTTCCGCCGATTAGAGCGTGCCATTAGGGATACGCAAGCAATCGATCTCAACACCATCATCCGCGGTAAGAGCTTGGATTGCGACTGCAGCATTTGCAGCCTTTAAAAGCCGTCATTACATTCCTTTTCTCCATTCATTCTGTCTATAATCCCTCTTCTGCCTCCATTATTTGTCTCCGTTCTTTATATACTGTATCCATCTCTTCGTCGTTGTCTTTCTTGGTCTTTATGCTCAATTTTTTTCGTCACTATGCTCTATGCTTTCATTTTTCCTGACTTGTTCACTATGCCTTCTTCTATTATTTATGTATCTCTTTGCCCGCTTCCCTTTATACTTTCTTATTCTTCAAGCCCGTAACCTTTTATGCTAGTACTTCCCCATGCATTGAATATATGTCTCTATGAATATATACTTTATAAAAGAAAAAATGATTGATTGATTTTGGAAGTGTAGTGAAAAGTAATCAAGAAAATCTACAAACAGAGATATAAAAAAGGGAAAAGGGGTAGTATCGGTTTTGAATTTAGAGGTTGTCCTCACGAGCAAGGCAGCGGTCAAAGTATTCGATCGAGTGGTCAATATAGCCAACGTAATCGCGTGGTGTAACTTTACTAATTGCCATCGCCAATCGATCATCTATATCCTTCATCTGGTCTGTGTTGGTATACTCAGACTGGCTGTCCCCTGTATTCTGATGCTGTAGCTGGTGCTGGATGTTAACGCGTCTGAAGCCGAACTTGACCTTTGAGAAAAATTCCTCGATCGGATTTAGAAAAGGAGAATAACGTGGTAACAGGACAAGGCGATATCCACAGTCAGCCACCTTGTTGCGGATATATTCTGCCGTATGGATTGCTGCATTGTCACATATAATATTCCAACCCTTGCCTTGAAGGTTTCTTTTATCGAGCTCGTCCATTACCATGGTCAGAAAAGCATAAAAGTCCTGGGTTTTTGTTCCGCCTCCTTTTCCTCCTTTGTTGATCTTTGTACATATCTTGACAGCGCCAGTGTAGCTAATGGCTGCAAGCATAGAGCGCGATCGGGCATACATCTGTGGAACGATAACATGTGCTATTTCCCCTGCAGGTGCCCATGCATAGTTTCGTCGCATATTTGCCATGAAAGATGCCTCATCAACAAAAACACTGTTGAGCCTATAGTCGACGATGCCGGTTTGGATATTATCAAGAGCAAATGCGACACGTCTATCCTTTGTTTCTTCATCTGTGCGGCGTTCTGGATAGATATGCGCTCGTTTGATCATGATACGGAGCTTGTTTACGAGATGACGGTAAATTGTTGAGACAGCTAATAGCAGCCCAAATTTCTTGAAGTACAATTCCTGTAGCTGCTCCAGAGTTGCAGTGTTGATTGTTTCGACGGTCTTTACAAGGAACTTGCTTCCAGCTTCTGTGATCTTTGATGGTCGTGTCTTTTTGTGTTTGACAGGCTTGGCGTTACCATCTCGTGCTTGGAATCGAGAATCATGATCTCTGATGGTGCTCGCTGATAGTCCTAACATCTCGGATGCCTTCTTGGTCGCTCCACACAACTTCAAGAAAAGAGCCCGGTATTTTATATCTAACGAGTGCGGCACATTTTTGCCACATGCAACTTTGGGTGCATTAGCTTGTTTGCGGCTACGTCTGGCAAACTGTAAAGAACTGATATCATCTTCATCAGCATCCGTTAGAGTGACTGTCGCGTCGATCGAACGCAATTGATGCTCATCATCATCAACTTCATGGCCGTCATCAGAATTGCTACTGCTGTCCTCGTCAGTATCACTGTTAATGCCATCATTCTCCTGCCCAAGCCGTGTAGGGTCGCTAGGAAAGCTGTCAATTTCGTAACTGCCCAGCTCCTCAGAACGGACAAAGGTTACCTCTTCCTCCATTTCGATATCCTCGTTTGGAATCGAGGTCGTGCTACTGTAGCAGTTAACGAATTGATTAGAGAGATTTTTAGCCATGTACGTATGTAAAAAAAAGAGGTATACCAGGAGTTTCGGTGCTACTATTCAACTGCATCTGCGTCATAGCTTTTTGAATCAGCCGAAGTGACCGTCTAGTGCTCACTACTGGCTGTGGTTGTCGAGCGTTTTTTTATTGCTCTCGGTGAGAGGGACGTTGATTATTTTTTTTATGTTTGGCGTGATTTCATGATATAGAATACAAATTTTTTTTAGAAGAGGGGAAAAAAGAGGTGCTTAATGTTTATTGAAGTATCTTTGTATCCATAAAGTGTTGTTTGTAACACAAACCATCTCAATGTAAAAAAGTAAAAACACGGAATTGTAAACAAATAAGCTCTTCGTAAGTTCTTTAGAACTATTAACTTTACTCTATAATGATGTGGTATATACAAGCATTCTCATAGTTGACATCTTTGCAACATATGCAGGTTTCTTCTTTATTTTTTCGTAGTAGCATTAATCATTATGGGAGACTTTATGGTGTTATGCTCATCAACTATGGCAAAGATATAATTGGATTGACACAAACGTCTCTTTTCATATTTATAGTTGTACCTGGTTTACTAAGGTGCTTTTTGCTAGTTGTCACTAAGCTTAGACGCTTCATTTTCGCGGTTAGGATGCTGATTTCATACTCATCAGGGCCCATTTTTGCTGCAAGAGCTTGACATCATCCGTAAACGAACGTAGACCAGCAAGCGATTCTTTAAGCTCTTTCGGCGAGGGCTCCTGTACTTTTTTGACGCGCTTTTCCTGGAAGCTGAAGTTTTTTTGACTTTGTCGGTCTTGTTTCGGTTTATTCTTCCCATAGGATGTGCAAACGGTGAAAAAAAGCCCGTTCAATATATTTAAAAAGCTTTAAGTACCAGAAAAGGGTACCGACAGATACTTGTAATACATAGGCACTCGGATGAACACCAACACATCCGATTCTGGCGTCAAACGGCGTGAACTTATCATCACTTAACTCAGTTGCGAAATACTTGCTTTCCAGTTACGAATGCGAGATGCCGATTGCGAACAATGCTATTTCTCCTGTACGAAATTTGATTTTCTTCAGTGCGAATAATTAGTTAGCACCATAGCGAACTACTGCTTGCCCCATGCGAAAAATAGGCACTTCCATAAACGAACATTCGTACACCCGAGAACGAAAATATAGTTGCTCAGTAACGAACATCTTCTTGCCCACTACGAAAAAAAAATATTCCCACTTGCGAAGTTCGGGTAACCCAGATACGAACAAGCTGTTGCCCAGATACGAAAAATAGCCAGCCCGTAAACGGAACCGATTCCGCGCCCGTTTACGAAAGCTGTTGTCCCACAAACTAAAAGCTTGTCCCACAAACCAAAAACCACCCACCCCCATACGAAAAATCTGCCACCCATATACCAAAAAATGCTCCTCCTGCATACCAAAATATCCTCCAAAGTACGAAGAAATAGAAGGCCGACAGCGTATCGAATGCAAAATCCTGTAAAGTCTTTTTGTCCCAGGGAAATATTAGCGTAGTATACCTCAAATTGCTACATACTCTTTCTTTTGAGCAGTGTCACTATTAAATTGAGCGCAGTGACTTCATATTGATTTAGCCTCTCAACTTTTGATGCGACACACCATAAACCCTTCGTCGGGTACCTATTATCCTCCTTACTGGGAGGATAACACTCTCATTAATTTAACTTGAATGCTACAGCGCACAAAATAGCACGATCATTTTCTATACAACAAACGCGTCAATGTTTTCCCGTATTGTGTGCAGCGGAAGCAATTGCAGAAATTCATGCATCGGAACTTGCCTTCCCACGAGTCCTGTACAAACTCTTTACTCCTTCCCGTTCATTCTTTATCCATTCATGACACATTAGCAATAGGTTATCAAAAGAAGGGCAGGTCTTTAGCTTTAACATGATACTAATATCATGTACAGTTACGACGATAATTGCGGCGGATATTGCTTTGGAAATTGCCTAGTCTTAAAAAGACGATGCAGGTTTCCCTTCCACCGTGTCTAAAACTTGTTTCTCCAACAATCGAATCTGAAACATGCAGTTGCCGACAGTGCCCTCTTCTTCCTTCCTTTTCAAATAAACTGACTATGTTCGTCATTCAGCAAAGAAAGATTCATGTAGAGCAGAGCCGTGGCTATAGAATGATGCCAATATTGATACAATCCTCGAATTATAAACGACGACACTATAGCTAATAATGTAGAATGGTCAATGAAAAACGATCGTTTCTCTGCCGCACTGTTGACTGAAACATGCATTGTGCTCTTTCTTAATGTTGACCTCATCGCCTATGCGCTCGTTGGCTATTGGACAACAGACAAATCACGCAATTGCCAAAGAATCTAATCGATTGTTCCAATTATTCACAACGAATCTTATATAAAAAAGGTACGCGTACCCACCCATCCATAGTTCTTTGGCCTCTTATCTTCCCGCTTCTTTCTCCTTCTCCTTCTCCTCCTCCTCCTCGTCACCAACTGTACGTATAACTCTTGGGAAACGGGATCCATCGCATGGCCGTGCGTGTGGTAGTGTGCATGTCTGTCAAGAAGTATCACGACGACTCACGATCAAATCTCTTGCTTTCTTTCATTTCTATAGCCGTCTCCTCCTCGGCCTCGCCCGGTTACTGCTTTAATGGAGGAGAGAAGCAAG